GCAGCAGCAGCAGCAGCAACAGCAGCAGGTGTTGGCCCGTCCACACCGCCAAAGCGACTTTCGGTTCAGCCGGCTCCTCACGGCCGCCTCAGTTCGGCTGCTCTTGTTCGACGACCACCACCTCTTCCACTTTCGGCACCACTCGTTGCAAGTCGAGATCGATCCCCATCATGGTCGACGACTCCAAGACCAAGCTTCCCACTCCGGCGCACGAGCCTGCCGATGCCCAAGCCAAAACGCCGCGTGAGGGCGATGACCACGACGACGAATCGACGCGCAAGAGAATCGCCTCGATCGCAACGCGCTTTGGCGGTCTGGCCGCACAGGCATCCAGCCGGGCCACCCAAAAAGCCACCGACGCCGCATCCCAGGCCACGGAGCAGGTGTCCAAGACCGTCTCGCCCACCGCCGCACAGACCGCCGGCGTACTGCAGGCCATGGCGCTCTCGACCAAGAACGTCTTCTCCCCCGCCGAACGCGCCAAGGAGGCAAAGTCGTGGTACGAGTACGAGTCGCCCCTCCACGTGCGTCGCAGCATCGCCGAGTTCGAATCGCCCCTCCATGCGCGTCGCCGACTCGCAGCCATCGCCTCCCAGCTCGGCCTCGCCACCTCGTCCGCAAAGCAGGCTCCCGGCTTGCTGAGTGCGCTCACCTCGGCCTCTTCCGCCTCCTCTTCCTCTTCCAACTCGTCCGCTGGCAACAAGTGGGATACCGCACGGCTGCCCGACTACCACCAGCTGCCTTCGCACGGTGGCTGGCCGGGGTGCGCCTGGGATGTGTGGGGCAAAGGCGACCAGCTGGGTACCATCAACCTCCTCACCGAGTCGCTCGTCCTGCGTGCCGCAAAGCAAGAAATTCAGACCGGGCGCACCGTCTCGCTCAACTGGCCAATCCACCTGCCTGCCGAGCCGTTCTTTGCACGCAGGGCGGTAACGCACAAACCGTTCGGCAAGGGTGGTCGCGGGTACACGGCACCGCGCGATGCGTACGTTGCGTCGGTGCGCACCAAGAACCCCGATGTAGTCGTGGTCGATGACCCAGCGGTGCCCATTAGCGACGAGGTGCTCGAGCTCAACACGCAGAGCGGCTCGCAGTGGGACGGTCTGCGCCACTACGGCCATTTGCCACTCAGTGTGTTTTACGGCGGTGCGTCGCGCGCGAGCATCCACGATTCGTTCAACGATACCTCGCCGCAACCTGCGGATCCGGAGGCATGGAATACGCAGCAGGCCAAGGCAAGAAACGCGCTCGGCATCCACCACCTCGCTCAGCACGGTATCTGTGGAAGGGGTGTGCTGCTGGACGTGTTCGAGTATCTCTCTCACCACGGCACGGAGGGCGTTCAGCGCGAGCAGTACGATTGGTCCAAATGGTCCAAGTATGGTGGTGGCAAGGGTTATGATCCGCGCTCGGGATTCCGCATCACAGTGGCTGATCTCGAAGCCACCGCCAAACACCAGGGTGTCGAATTGCGTCGTGGCGATATCCTGCTCGTGCGCTCCGGATTCACGGCACGATACTACTCGCTATCGTCCGAGGAGCGTGCAGCTTGGTCCAACCCCAATCCCAAGGAAGGCATGGGTATGCCGTTTGCCGGAGTCGAACAGAGCGATGACATGAAGCGCTTCATGTGGAATCACCACTTTGCAGCGGTGGCGGGAGACAGTCCTGCGTTCGAAGCACGACCGACGAGAAAGGGTGAGACCATGTTGCACGAAACCTTGCTCGCCATGTGGGGCATGCCCATCGGAGAGCTCTTCGATCTCGAGGCGCTGGCGCACACGTGCAAACAGCTCGGCAGATACTCGTTCTACTTTTCCTCGTGGCCTCTCAACTTGTTCGGCGGCGTCGCCAGCACCGCCAATGCAAGCGCCACCTTCTAAGCTCACCCCCACCCTCACGCACAATGCAATCCACTCAATCCCATCTACACACCCACTCCATCTTGTGAATGACCCTCGAGTAGCATTGCCATGTAGCGAAGCATCTACGGCCTTGCAGTCGACTTGTTCTTGGACAGGATGATGCGTTTGTACTCGGCCACATCGCCCTTGAACTTTTCCACCCTGCCGCCATCCACGACCCACAGCTCGTGCAGGCAGTTGTGGATAAAGGTCTCGTCGTGCGAGATGCAAATGACGCCGCCGTTGAAGCGGTTGATCGCCTCGCACAGCGCATCCAGACCTTCGGTATCCAGGTGGTTCGTAGGCTCGTCCAGCAGCAGCACGTGCGGACGCATCATGCTGATATGCGCAAACGCCACACGCGACTTCTGTCCTCCCGAAAGCGTCGCGATCTTCTGCAATCCCGTCATGCCCTTGATGCCAAACGCACCCAGATGCGAGCGGTACTCCTGCTCCGTCTTGCCCGGGTACTTGGACGCAAGGAACGACACCGGGTTCGCGTTCAGGTCCAGCTGGTCAATGTGGTGCTGACTGAAGAAGCCCACGCGCAGCTTGCCGTTGCGCTTCTGGTCGCCCTGCAGCGGCGTGATCTCGCCCATGAGCAGCTTCATCAGCGTCGACTTGCCCGCACCGTTGGGTCCCACCACCGCCACACGGCTCTGCTGCGTAATGTCGAAATCCACACCCTTGAGCAGCAGCTTGTCCGGCCGGTAGCCGAAGGTGACGTTGCTGATCTGCAGCAGCGGCAGCGGCAGCTTGTCCGCCTCGGGTAAGCGGAAGTGCACCACCTCGTCGTCCTCGGGCGGCTCGATGTTGGGCAGCTTCTCGAGCTGCTTGATCTTGCTCTGCGCCTGCGCCGCGCGGTTGGCATTGACGCGCCACCGGTCGATGAACGCCTGCAGCGTCGCACGCTGCAGCTGCACCGCCTCGTACTCGCGCTGCTGGTTGCGCCGCCGCTCCTCGCGCGTCTGGTAGAACTGGTCAAAGTTGCCCTTGTAGTAGTCGAGCCTCTCGCTGTGCATGTGGATGATGTCCGTGGCGACGCGGTTGAGGAAGGCTCGGTCGTGCGACACCACCAGCAGCGTGCCCTCGTAGTCGTTGACAAAGTAGTCCTCGAGCCATGCCAGCGCGTTGAGGTCGAGATGGTTCGACGGCTCGTCGAGCATGAGCAGATCGGGCTTGCAGAAGAGCGCACGTGCGAGCGCCAGTCGCATCCTCCAGCCTCCGGAGAAGGTCTTGGTGGCGCGCTGCTGGTCATCCGTCTTGAAGCCGAGACCGTTGAGAAGGGCGGCGGCGCGTGCAGGGCCCGTCTCGGCCTCCATCTCCACCAGCTTGGCCTGCACCTCGCCCAGGCGCGTCGAGAGCTCTTCGCGCTTGATCTCGCGCTGGCGCGTGGGCATGTCCACCGCCGATCCGCGCGAAAGCCCTGCAGCCGCCGCCTCTTCGCCCTCGGCACCCTCGGACTGCGACGCTGCGGCGGCTGCGGCTGCATTGGCTGCTGCCACGGCGGCCGCCGCCGACTCCTCGAGCTTCTGCAGCTCGGCGTTGAGCTGCGCCTCTTCCTGCATGAGCTTCTCACGCCACACGTCGGCCTTGAGCACGCTCTCGATGGCGGAGGTGTCGTCGCCGACGATCTCCTGCTCGACGTACAGGATAGAAATCTGGGTGGGGATGGGGATCTCGCGCAGCGCCATGTTGCGCAGCAGCGTCGATTTACCCACACCGTTGCGGCCGATGAGACCGGCGCGACGGCCGGCCTTGATGGTGAGCGTGGCGTTGGAGAGGATGCGGTTGGAGCCGAAGCTGACGTCAATGTTGGGGAGGTGGATATCCTTGTTCTTGCCCTTGTTGCCCATGCTCTCGAGCGGGTTGACCTTGAGGAAGAGCTCCTCGTAGCTCGCCTGCTGCTTGGACTGCTGCACGAGCTTGCTCGACTCGTACAGGTCGCGCTGTGCACGCTTGGCGAGCTTGGCGCGCGTCTTGGCCTCCTGCTTCTCGAGCTTCTTGACGTCGACGGTGGAGCGGTTCTGCTTGGTGGTGCCGAGCGCAATGTCCACGCCGCCCGCCGTGTCGAAGCCCGAGGTGCGCGACATCTCGGTGTTGCGCATGTCGACCACCTTGTCGAGGCGCGTGAGGCCGGAGGCCTTGGCGGCATCGGCATCGTCGTCGGGCAGCTTGGACTGGATGAGTTCGAGCAGCTTGGGCAGCAGCGCGCTCACCTGCTTGGACGACGACGGGTCCGAGATGCACGCCGACTCGAGCATGGGCTTGACCACCGTCTCGAAGAGGTCCTCGGTAGGGTCGTCGGCAGCATCGTTGATGTAGCCGTCGAGGTACTCGACGACGGGATCGTCAAGTTTAGGCAGCGCCTTGCGAATGAGCGTTGCGGCCGCCATGTTGGGCGATGTCGGATTGGACTGTTGGTGGAAGCTACAAAGACCCTGCGAAGGACAAGGCTGAGTCGGATGAAGAAGTCTGCTGCGCGCACGTCCGGAAAATTTGCGTCTGAGGCTGTTAGACCCAGGAGCTTAGCTTTGCTGACAGGATGTGACTAATTCGTACGGGCAGCTCGATCGCAAAGTGAGAGCGACGACCGTGCGCAGTTTCGCGGGTTGATGCCGTGATTGCGAAGAAAATCCGATTTTGAGCTGCGCGATTGACGGGCGCACGGCCGATGACGTGAAGTCATAGCCAGCGTCTTCTCCTCCACTTGGCAGCGCCGAAAAGAGACAGTTCAAGAGCAGTCTTGGAGCGTCACCCGGCTCACCCGCGAGGAGACCGAGGAGACCGCGCTCATCAGAGGGGCAGCAGGACAAGGATTGGAGTAACCCAGCTTGTCTTTGCACCACCTACATCCACACATTCATCTGAGCTTTTCTTCGCCATGTTGATCCGACCCGTTCTCTCTTCTTCGCTCGGCCAGGCGGCGCGCTCGAGCCTGCGCTCCAAGGCGCCCGCAGTGCGCCAGTACGCGACCGAGGCCGGCAAGCCGTCGGGTGGCTCGAACCTGCCGCTGGTGCTTGCGCTGGGCGGTGTGGCCGGTCTGGGAGCTTGGTACTCGCTGGGCGGCTTCGACGATCCCAAAAAGGCCAAGAACAAGGTGCAGGAGAAGGGCCAGGAGGCGGTTGACCAGGCCAAGGCGGCCGTGTCGGGCGGTGCGCTCAACAAGGACCAGTTTGTCGAGTTTACGCTCAAGGAGATCAAGCCGTACAACCACGACTCTGCGACGCTGGTGTTTGAGCTGCCGGACGGCAAGAAGCCCGGCATGAACGTCGCCTCGGCCGTTGTGGTCAAGGCGGTGGGCGAGGGCCTGAAGGACGACAAGGGCAAGGACGTCATCCGTCCCTACACGCCCATCACGTCGCCCGAGACCGAGGGCCACATGGACTTCCTGGTGAAGAAGTACCCGGGCGGTCTGATGACCACGCACATGCACTCGATGAAGCCGGGCGACAAGCTGGGCATCAAGGGCCCCATCGCCAAGTTCCCCTACAAGGCGAACGAGTTTGAGTCGATCGGCCTGATCGCCGGCGGCTCGGGCATCACGCCCATGTGGCAGGTGATGCAGGCCATCGCCTCGAACCCGGAGGACAAGACGCAGGTGACGCTGATCTACACCAACAAGAGCGAGAAGGACATCCTGCTGCGCGAGCAGTTTGACCAGCTCGCCAAGACGGACAAGCGCTTCACGGTGGTGTACGGCCTGGACAAGCTGCCCAAGGGCTTCAACGGCTTCGAGGGCTACGTGACGCCCGAGCTGATCACCAAGCATCTGCCCAAGCCCGAGCAGGCGGGCAAGGCCAAGATCTTTGTGTGCGGCCCGCCGCCCCAGGTGGAGGCCATCAGCGGCGGCAAGGGCCCCAAGGGCAGCCAGGGCGAGCTCAAGGGCCTCCTCGCCCAGATGGGCTACACGCCCGAGCAGGTGTACAAGTTCTAGATCAGCTTTGCTGGCTCCAACTGGCGGCTTTCTTTCTTCTTGGTAGCTAGATCGTAATCGACACCAGAATCATGGAGAGTGCGTGAATCGTCTCCATTGTTGCCGTGTGAGGGCTGCAAGGATGAGGACATCAGCGATGCGAATGTAGGCCATTTTTTGGCACTGGATACTTTCGGCGATCTCACAATTCCGAGTGAATTTCCAGATTAGGCAGGTCACGGCGAGCTGCCCTGGACGCGTGGCTGCTTTGGGCGCGATGCGCAGGAACTCTTCGACAAAAACAACACGCGAGACTGGCGGATCGGCGACAGGTCCCACGGCTCAGGGGCGGCGTGCATCCATGCGAGACCCACAGCGTCGGGCGGCGGCGCCTGCATAGGTGTCAAACTCTGCCCCCCATCCACGACGGCGTCTTTTTTTTCCTCCCATCATCAGACGAGCTTCTTTCCACACACATACAGTCATCAGGGCCGTCGGGATGAGAGCAAGCAAGTCATGCCGAGGTTTCGGCTGTGGGTATGCAGGGGCCGAAAGAGGCTCAGGGATAGCGTTGGGCGAGGTTGCATCAAAGCAGCCCAGCCGTATGGAAAGCGGAGATTCAAAGTGGACCTCTGAGCTGCGGTGTAGAATCGTGCTTGAATTTTTGTGGGCTGGCTTGGCCCCCCTGTCGTAACGGCGTTTGGCCCGGAACAGCAGCCGGTAGAGTGTATTGTTCCAGCCCCCATGCGATCAATCTGCCCATCACCACAGGTTGAGATGAGTACAGATGCGGGGCGTGGGAGTTCGGTTGAACGTAGCTTGGGAACGGCTAGAGGTTTAGGAGGCGCGCGATGCTCGCAACGACGACTAAGGCGGATATGGACGCACTAGTTGACAAACGAGCAGTAGCCTCGGCACGTCTGCCAAGCCGAGGTAGAGTTGGCCAGCCTCTCGTATGCAGCCTGGTCTGCCGTGACACCCTTGAATGCACTCCGTCGATCCTCCAGCCTCGCTTGCTCGCTGAACCCGCGCGCTCCGCCAAGACGCGGGCATGATGCGCCAGTAGACTCTATCCGTCCGCGGCTGACGCTTGCCTTCGCCAGTCTTTGGCGCCCCAGTATCGTGAATCCAACCGGGGAGCGGCTGAGCACGCCTCGGTATATACACGCAGCTGCATCGCTACCAGCTCCGCCCAACTCTCCGCCCATCCACCTCTCTCCTTTCTCCCCCACCCTCTTTCCTCCACTCCACTCACTACCATCATCTCGATTGGAGCTTCATCGCGATGCCGGGAATCTCCAAGAAGCCGTCCTTCTCGCACCAGGACAGCGCGCCCTCGAGCCCGTCCAAGAAGACAGTGCGGTTGGCCGAGAATCCGCACGTGTCGGCATTCCTCTCGCCCAAGTCGCGCATCTTTACCGGCGGACATGGCTACCCTGGTCCCCCCGGTCCCATGGCGCGCCAGAGCTATGCATCCGCCTCGGCTGTGCCCGATGCATTCTCGGTCAACGGCAAGCAGTTGACGCCCGACGAAGTCGCCCAAAAGATCGCCTCCATGCTCAAGCCCGGTCCGCCCTTCTTCAGCCGCGTCTCCAACGCAGACCTCATCGACTTTATCTCGGACGGCAGCATTATGAACTGCGACAAGCTTCGCGCGGCCGCAGCGGCGGTCGAGGAACGCAAGCATGCCAACCGCGCCCTTACGGCCTTCGTCCCCTCGGGTACCGTCGTTCGTCGTCGTGCCGAGGAGGAACGCTGGACGGGTGTGGGCACGGTTTGGTCGTCGCTCGAAGGTCTGCCTGCCGGTGCATCGTGGGGTCAAATCCCCACTACCGGATCCACCCTCAGCGTACGATCCCAGTCGGGCGTCGAGGATGACGGCATGTGGAACGCCATCACGCTCAGCTGCGATCTTGACTGCACCACCGTCGAACTCGCCAAGAGCGTCGTAGTCCCCACCCAGGTGCTCCACAACAACCACTTTTTCAACGGAAACGCCGACTCGCTCTTCCAAGACATCGGCGCCGGCATCAAGTTCAAGTTCGACAGCCTCACCAGCAAGACCTCGCTGCGACACAAGCCGAGCTCGTCCAACCTGGGCGGAGGGTCCAAGATCATGCCGAGCTATCTGTCGCTTTCCGCCTACACGGATCCGAACAATGCCTTCACCTCGTCGGCATTCGAACTCAAGTGGCCCAGCTGGATGCCGTGGGTCAAGAAATCCACCAACCCCGAGACGGCTGCACCGGAGACACCGGTTGCAGGAGGCCAGAAACGTGTCTGGGTCCCCAGCTCGACCAAGATCTCGATCCACGCCTCGTGGTGGGGTTACAATCTGTATCTGCCACAGCCCGTGCTGGATTCGCTAGACGGCGATGTGGACGAGGCCGAAAAGGTGGCGAACCTGATCAACAAGTGTCTGACCTACATCCTCAACAATGTCCCCGCCGGTCTGCCCAGTGCGTTTGGCGCGGTGATCACCATCCTCAAGGCCATCGCTCCTACCACGGGCTATATTTCGACGTTCATCGGTTGGAGTTGGGATACCATCAAGAGCTTCAACAAGGGTCAGGGCGTCGTATTGAGTGCCACCTGGATCCTGCCTGTCGCGCTCATTCCTAGAGCTTGGGACGCTCCCACCAACCCCAACTCTGCAACTCCCACTCCCACCGATCCTACCGCTACACCCACTACCCCAACTACACCGGCTGCACCGAGCGCGCCGGCTGCACCGGTCTCTGCCACTCCGGCTGGCGGTTCGGGTTCAGGCATGCCGGTCACCGCTCAGGATGTAACTGATCCGGAGAGTGTTCCGCTTCCGGACCCAAACGTACCTGCTGTGCCCGCTCCAGGCGCTACGCTGCCACCCACCAACCCCAGCACGGTCAACGTCGACCTCTCGCCGCCTCCGGCCAACGACACCGCCAACGCCACCTACCCCGGCGATGCACGCGGCCGCGGCGGAGACCCTTCCACCTCGGGCCCCATGGGCAACACCCCCGCCCCCGCCAACCAAACCCCCATCGACGCCGAGTCCTAACCCCATCTCGATGATGATGATGATGAACAATTTGTCCCTGTCATGACCCCCCAACGATTCAAGCTCACGACCCGCGTTCACGTTTCCCCTTGTCGCAATGTCATCCTTATCTCGTACTTTCCTGCGCCGTGTGATGGTGAATGAATGCGAAACGTGATTGCGAGTGACTACACCAAAACTGCTCGAGAAAGAAAAGAGTCGCGCGGCTACTTGCTCCAGCCCGGCACCGTCTTGCGCGCCGGCGCGGGCTTGGGCGAGTCGTGCTGTGTGCGCGGTGATGATGCGGCCGAATCCGCATGGCCGTTGGTGAGCTTGGCGCCGGCGCCCCCCTTGGCCTGCTTGCCCTTTGCGGCCGCCGCCGCTGCCGCATGGCTGCCGTTCGGCTTGACCGCTACCGCCGCCTTGGCCGGAGCAGACGCGACGACCGGGCTCGGCGTGGCACTGGCGTCTGCCTCTCCCGGAAGCTCGCGTCGGTAGAAGAGGAGGTACGCCAGCCCGTCGTGACCGTGGTCCTTGTTGGCCGACGCGGCGTTGCGCACCACGTGCTCGGCGGGGATGGGATGGAAGAGCGTGTCGTCAATGTGCAGCCACGAGTGGCCGTCTTGACGCAGCACATCGACAGTATAGTGTCCGCCCGAAGCATGGCGGCCGTGATGGTAGACGATGCCAAACAGGCGGTAGCGCGGGCGCGGCTGCGCGCGCATCGCGGGGCTGAGCACCTCGGGCGCAATGTCGAGCGTGGTGCCGTATGCGAGCGGCTTCTGGCTCTTCTGGACGCCGCCGATCTCGTCGTAGATGAAGCGCTTGAGGTGGAGCACGAGCACGGGCGGCAGCGACTCGACAAACACTTGCTTGGTGGCATCCACCTGTGCGGCGCGCGCGGGCGACCAGACGCCGGGGATAATCTCGGGCTCGGTGAGGTGGAGGAGCGCGTCCTCGATCGACTGGACGTGGGCGGGCTGGATGTCGAGCTGGAGCGGCTGGTACGGCTCGAGCGTGACGCTGTCCTTGGCACCGGGCGTTTTGAGCACGCTGCGAAGCTTGCCGCCAAAGATGCGGGTGATGGGCGATTCCGAGGTGGAGGTGGTGCGCGTGTAGGCGGTCTTTCCCTTCTGCCCCACCTCCATCCAGCCTTGCTCCGAGGGGCTGACGGGCCTCATGACTTCGCGCTCCACGATCTCGTCGTCGTCGAGCGCCGCCTCGAGACCGAGGCCGATGGCGTCGGCGGAGGAGCCGTCCTTGTTGATGCGGACGCCAAGTCGGCGGAGGTCGTCATCCGAGACGCCGTTGAGCTTCTTCTCCTCCTCGGACATCTTTGCGAGCAGGCCATTGGGGCCGCTGGCGGATTGTGCGAGCTTGAGGGCAGACCTGCGCTGCGCAGAGATGAGCTCTTCGTGCAGAGTGTCGAGGAAAAAGCCGAGGAATTCCTCTGCGTCCTCCTGGTGTCCTCTGCGCATCTGATCGAAACGCTTGTTGAGGCGCATGGCATCGTAGACGAACTCGGGCAGGAAAGGCTCGGAGGCGGCGGCAGCGGTCGAGGCGTCTTGACCGGGGAGGGGGCCGTCGTTGAGGTCATGCGAGGCGTCGGCGGGGAGGAACTCGCGGAGGAAGTGGATGACGGCCTCCATGAGCGGGGTTGCGTTGCCAAAGTCAGCGGGGACCTCGTTGCCTACGAGGGTGAAGAGGTTGTAGAAGGGAGCGCAGTAGACGAGCGTCTGGAGGATGGCGTTGGCAAAGCAGAAGTTGCCCTTGTTGACGAGGCCGCGCGGGTGTGTGACGGGAGCGTCGAAGCGGGTGTGGGCGTCTGCGAGGAGGCGTTCGAGGCTCATGAGGGCGGGCTTGGGCGCGGAAGCGGCGGACTTGCGCGACGACTTTTTGGCACTGGAGGAGGTCTTGGGAGAGCGTGCGGGGGAAGCGGCGGCGGAGGAGGAATCGTGCGAGTCGCTCACGTTGACGCTGACGCCGATGGGACCGTTAGAAGCTGGGCCGTTGCGGCCGAGGGTTTGCGCCCATGATTTGGGCGTTCCCCAAGCGTTGACCTTGGATGCTGCGAGTTGAGGGGTGGATGTGGTGGTGGTGGAGGTGGCTGCATTGGAGTCGGCTGCGGTGATGCTGGTTGCTTCTGTGAGGGACGATGCTGCAAGATCGGGATGTTCTGATGTGAGCGGGGAGGATGGGTGTGTGGAGATGGAGGAAGGAGCTGGCGTGCTGTCTGCGGTGGTGGCGGTGTTGAGGTGGGCGGGCTGGCGCGCGCGCGGGCGAGGGCGGGTTGCGATTCTTGGCAGGGTATCGAGGAGCACGGCGAAGCTGGGGAACTGGGTCGGGTCGGGTCGGCAGCGATATGAGAGAGTGAGCGCGGGCGCGTTGGCTGGCGAAGGCGGGCGGAAAGCGGCCGAGAGATGGGCCTGGTGGAGCGACTGCAAGTATGGATCGAGCGTTTGCGGCTGTGGTTGTGATTGTTGCGCTGCCCTTCTTTGCCTGGCAAGGGGCGAGGGCTGGCCTGGTTGACGGAAAGAAAGACCGGTGGATTGCGATGGTTGCGATGAGGTGGTTGGTGTTGATGCGTCGTGGCCGTGCAGTGATGATGGCGATCCAAATGATGGAGGCGCAGGGCCCGACGAGGAGGAGTGGTTTGCTGATAGCCATGCGGACGTGGAAGGCTGGCTGTATGCGGTGTCTTTGACAGACGAGGAGCCTTGCGAAGGCATCGACGACGACGGAGCCGAAAGCGGTGCCGGATGCGGTGCTTGCGCTATCGAAGGAGCCATAGTGGAGTATGGCGCAGGACGCTTGAACAGAAGTTGATCCTTTTCGAGGTGGTGAGGGCCGTTATCGATGGCTGAGGATGGAGCCGGGATGAAGCCTGGTGCCAAGATTGATTAAGCGGCGGGACGAAAGGAGCGTAAGGTAGAGGCAAGAGGGTAGAGGATAGAGCTCGTGCCAAGGACGGAGAGGGTGTAAGAAGAAGAAGGCGCAGTGGTGGGTGTGGCAGAGAAGGATGAAGAGACAAAGGGACTCGTGATGAACAGTTGGGCGCCGCCGTTGAGTTTTGGGAATTTTGGCTGATGAGAGCGTTGGCAGTAGTTGGAGCCGCTCCGCCTCGGTGTGACGAGATGGCGCAGCGGCTCAGCCTCCCTCACGCGGCCTTTCTTGACTGACTTGGCTTTGGATTTTGGCCATCATCGTGCGATCTGCTGCTGCGCCCAACACTCCCACTCAAAAAAGAAAAAAGAAAAAGAAATTAAAACCCTCCACAAAAAAGGAGCTTCAAAATTGAGAAGATAATATTCTCGAATCAATCCTGCCAGTCACACCCAACACAAAAAGCGACACGCGGCAGTAGCCAGCCAGACATCGGCGATTTTGCATGTTTTTGGCGACATCGGGAGAGGCGGCCAAAAAATGTTCTGGGATTCAAATTTGACTGCCGATGCGGAGAAGTCGAGGTCGAGAAGTGGGATGCGCGGCAAGAAGGGTGCGGACAACCGCTGCATTCAACACGCACGCTCACCTTCTTCCTCCTCTTCCGCACACCACCTCCTTGCACACTCGACGCTCATCAGACTACGCCTCTCTAGCAGCCGCAACACTCTCGCTCACACCTCGGTCTACTGTGCCCATCCGTGCTCTCGCAAGTTTGCTGTCTGTCCGACTCGGTCCTACCTGGCAACGCTCATCCCGCCTTCCACTCCACCACAGCTCTTGCTGCTCCCATAGCCATGGCTCAGCACCCTTGACATCGCCTCCGCACCCTGCACACACACCGCACACCGCACACCATCCGAATCGCCGTTCTCTCGCTGTGCACTGCTGACATGCACCCCTGACCGACTCGACTCGGCGCGCCCCCCGTTCAACCATGACACAACTCGACCCGCTCTCGCAGGCGCTCATGGCCGCCTCGCTCCACTCGCATCCTTCCTCCGACATGGCCGCATCTACGCCATCCATCGTCTCCAACCCGGCTCGTTCGGTCAGCTTTGCCTCGGCGCTTCGATCCGGTCAGGCTTCGTCACCTGCGATTCTCTCGCGTCAGGCAACGCCACCACACACAGTCGCAGCACCCCCTGCATCAGCGCTGGCATCAACGTCCACCTCTCCGCTCGCGTCTTCGCCACTCGATGACACCATCCTTCAGGCCATGCGCAAGCGCGACGATCGCATCTTCTTCAGCCAGTACGAGAATCAGATGTCCGTCTTTGTCCGCGATCCCTCCCGCTCCCACCTCGAGCTCGCGCCGATGAATGCCTACCAGCGACTGCTCATCCACAGATGCGCCGACCAGTTCCACCTCGACCACCATCTCGACCGTGCCACACAGTGCATCACCCTTTCCAGAACTTCGCTCACCACCCACCCACCCGTCCTTCTCTCGCTTCGTGCCCGCCGGCACGTCGCTCAGCGTGACGGCATCGATCCTGTCGACGCCGCAGCCCAATCCACTCCTCCCACCATGCTTGCTGCTGCCGCTGCACCTTCCAGTGGTCCCAGCACCGGCGCCGCGACGCCTGCCGCGCAGGATTCGGCCACCTCATCGCCTCGCGTCGCTCCCACCGCCATCCCCCCCTCGGCGCAGGCCTCAGCACCCAAAGCCGCTTTCAAGATCATGCGTCGCGATCCCTCCAGCAGTCGCCATTCTCGTCTGCGCGACGACGCATCGGCCAGCAACAGCGACTCGGAACGCACCAACACCGCAAAGGCGCGCAAGGACATGACGCTCGAAGAACGCGAGGCCTCCTACAAGGCCGCACGCGCTCGCATCTTTGGCGACCTTTCCTCGGCCGACTCCACCTCTCCCACCTCGTCCTCTTCCCAACTCGGACAATCCAAGGAGGACGACCTCGCCAAGGATGCCAGCTCCACCAGCGAGTCAAAGCAATCGCCAGCCAGCTCGGCTACCTCGAGTCCCGTGGCATCCATCGCAGGCGCACGCCCCGGCACTCGCAAAAAGGTGCCCTCGTCGAGCTCGTCGACCGCAAGTCAAGACGGCTCGTCCCAACGTTCGCGTGCCTCCCGAAAAGCTGGCTCCCACCGTGCCGCCGACGGCTCCAACGACGACCTTGACTTCTGCCGCACGCTTCCACTGCCCCTTGCTTCGCCTTCGCTCATGGCCGCAGGCCCGTCACAGCCCAGCCCTCTGGCGCTGCCCGCCCACACCGCCCACGGCTACTTTGGCGCCGCACAGCCTCTCCATCCGCAGCACTCCCAGTCGAATCCCAACCTGCGCTCCAGGGCTCCCGCTTTCTATCCGAATGGCACCATCACGCCCACATACACGCACAACGGCATGATCGCTGCGCCGGACGCAACAGCGCCACACGGGTTTGCGGCCAACCATGCACACGATTTTGCGCGTCACCACGCGATTCACCCTCCCGCGCACGCGCAACGACCATGGCAGCCACCAAGAGATGCGACCGATACCGAGCCGTGCCCCGCGTTGTCCGCTGGCACAGCTGGTCCGAACGGATACAACACAGCCAGGCCGGTCAACGGTGTGGGTGCCTGGGCGCAGCACGCGTCGGCGCATACCAATGGCCGCACCATGCAGGCGTCCTATGCGCAACCGCCGGCGTTGCAGCACGGACCGGGGATGAATGCATACGCGCAAGGCTATGGACATGCGGGTTCAGGCACGCACAGTGCCAACAGCAGCCGTACGAGTTCGCAGCGCGGAGGCGGCCGCGCAGCCCGCGACGACGCGGTGAGTGTGGGATCCATGTCGTCCACCGCCTCGTCACGCAGCGCGAGCTTCAGCGGCGTCAGCGCAAGCGCAAGCGCCGCACACGCGCCAGCCAAGGACGCGAGTCACAGCAGCGCCGCAACAAAGGCACATCCCTCCCTCCCATCCAGGCCAGCATGGATTGCATCGGCCAAGACGCCCGATTCGACACACCGAGCCACGTAGCAACTCCTGCTCATCGCACCACTCAAAAGCAATGCCATCCACACTCTAGACTCGCACCGCTTTGGTATTGACTCGTGAATACGTCAAAGCGACATGTATTTTTCCACGCACTGTTGCCAGTCGTCTTTCTGGATGCTGATCCCCTCTCGCTCGACGGCGAGGTTGGCTTTGACGTCGTCGAACGCATGCCACCACCAGTTGTGTACGTGTGCATCCGGGTCCTTCGGATTGCGCTCCGAACCTGGACGGCCGAGGTTCCAGGGCTTATCGAGGATGTAATGCACATTCACCGCATCCTCGTCCCTCCAAATATTCGCATGGACCAGGGGCAGCTTCTTGAGCGCATTGTACTTGTATGGCAAGTACTTGATGTGACGATTTTGCGTATCGAAAAAGTCGGCGAGGAAGTCTTGATCTGGAAACCTGTATTCCTGCACCCTTGGATCGGTATTAATGGCGTCGATCATTTCCTCCATCGTAGCCTTCGAAGGTGTAAGCAGAACGAGACCGCTATTGATCAACTTTCCCGGCCTCGGTGTTTCCTTTGTTGGCTGTACGACGCTTTGTGGGTCTTTTGCTTGCGGCAGTGTTTGGCCAGTGAATCCACAGTTTTCGGGGATCCAGTTGTCGGGATACGTGGCGATTCGGTTCGGATTGCAGGTGCATGCCCAACTGGCTGCGATCCATTCCCCCTCCCCCGTGGGAAAGACGGGCGCAGCGAGGAGTTCGTCCATATTGCGTCGTACGAGCATATCCGAATCCACCAGCGCCACCCGTGCGTACTCGCAAAGCTCAAAGGCGCGCAACTTGGTCCACACCTCGTTGAACCTCGCATATGCCAGCCCCGTCGCCACCGATTCGGGATAGATAGGCTCGATCTCGCGAATCACCACCTTACCGCGGGGCAGCATGGTCGACAAAATCCCCCTTGCCCGCGTGCTGAGCTTCGTGGTGGCCATGATGACAAGTGGATACGCAGACGCATGTTGAACCAGCAGCGTATGCGCAAACACCACCACTCCCGGCAAGAGGTGCTCCGACGTAAGCAGCGTTGCCCACGCACATTTTCCGGACATCACGACGAAACTGTTGAAGATGGTGGTGCAAGCAAGAGGTGAGATCGTGTCGTGTGCGGGCCAAAGACCAACGCAGCCATCTGTTGCCGCCTGTGCGCTGAGCAAAGCCGATCCGATTTCACCTGCATGCAGCAGATCGCAGCACCCGACTTTGACAGCCACGCGAATCGTAGGATCGACAAAAGACACGCGTCGGCCTCCACCCCACCAACTTTCCCGCCGAGCGTGGTGGTTACGCTTCTTCGTGCCAACCCCAAGCCTCATACCGCAACGCCCGCCGACCGCCGAAAAGGCTCATCACCAGCATCGCATGGAGCTCTGCCCGGTCAGAGAATACAGCGGCACGACACAGCCTCTCGATGTCGCAGTCTGCCCCGATGTAGAGCGAGAGCGGCCAAGGCCTTCTGAGATTTGAAAGAAAAGAAGTGAGGGTGCCAAAAAAAGCGCAAAAAAAGGAAAGCAACACGTGCCTGCCTCCTAGCCGACTCGAACGACTGACCT